TCAATTCTAACACATGAGCCAAAGGTAAGTAGCCAATATATGTGTCCTTTGGTCCTAGAGCAGGTATCCTCTCACATTGCCCTGTCATTCCAGCTATCAAATTGCTATGATGCATCATGACTCCCTTAGGGCGGCCAGTAGAACCACTGGTGTACATGACAATGGCCATGTCTGAAAGAGTTGGTCTACTTGGAAGAATGCTGGAGTATTCTGGCTTGGATCCCAACTCTTCTACACTGATTGCATGCTGTGAATCTCAAATCCCTCAGGGTACTCTGCTTTATTGATAGTCTTATTATCCACATAAATGATGTGTTTAACACAACTGATCTCTAACAGTGCAGTCTTAAGTTTGCTTTCCAGAAGTTCAACACTAGTAATCAGATAGAAAGCTTCAGACTCATTTAGTCCATGAACTACTGCTTCTTTGCCAAGTGTGGCATACAAAGTCACAAGAGGAAAGTTGTACTTAAAGCAGGTCTGTGCTGCAATGATCCATTCAGCCCTGGTCTCACAGAAAATAGCAATAGTGTTCTTTGGTTTCAGTCCCAATGTGGTCAGTCCACTACCAAAATTATTCACTCTTCGGTTTACTTCGAGATAGTTCATCCACTTATAATTCCCAAGAATTAACTTCTTAAAAACCTTTCCATTTGGATGCATTTCATTTTCTTCACTTAGGATTTCCCTGGTCCCAAGGCTGTCCTTTTTTCCAAACTTGGATACAGCATGGTCAAATAATTTACCCAGAGTGTCTGCTTCAGGGATGTCTATGACAGCTAATGAGTCGAAGTGTGTGACAGAGCGATATGGACTTCCAGGTTTGTCTGAAGTGGGCTTAGGTCTTATTCTCTTTGCCATAGCGTTTTTAGATGTCTTCTTTTCCTTTTAAGAAGAATGTGTTTGTCTTCTGTGATTTCAATCGAAGGTGCTGCCCACCGCGTCTTCGAAGCCGGCTGGCGCCTTGCCCCCCGGGAAGCTCACGGAAAGAAGCCGCGTGTCCGCTAGCGCCGGGGTGAGGAAGGACGCGCCACAGAGGCCAGAAAAACGCTGCAGCGGCGCGCGCACACCCGAAAGGCCAACGGGGGCTGGGCGCGGCGCGAGCCCGGAAAAGACCCCAGCTGTACATGTTAATGGGGTTCAGTGTGTTATTTCAGCACATGAATATAGTATGCACTAAGCAAATACAGCTTCCCTTTATCCACCGTCTTTTTCCCACGTTTAATTTTCTAAGGTCCCCTTTTGCTATTCATTTGACTCCTTTTTTATTCCCAGAATTCTTTATTTATGCTTTTTCTCTGTTTTCTCTCATTTTGCATGCCAAAGTTGTATAAGTTATAATAATCTTTCTAAAACAATATTTTGGCTTAGTTGCTGTTAACTCTATTGTTTCTTGGTTTTCAACTCCATTGATTTTTTTTCATAATTATTGATTCCTTCTTTTTGTCTTTGTGTTGACTTTTGTGGTACTTCTGCTCGATTCTGAGGCATATATATCTGACTTCAGAAGAGCGGTGTCAGCCGATGCCCACGGTTGGGAATTTGATATCTCTTCTTTTAGCATATGCAATCTATGATCGTTCATTTTAGGAGGGAGCTGATGGCCTTCTCAGGTCTCACTGTCCTGCTGATTCTCTTAGACTCAGCTATGTCTTCCATCTGGCTCTGGGCTGTGCTGTTAACTGTTGCCTCAGGATCCCTTTTTTTATGACAGCTTCTGGGACCAATGCTGACATGATGTGACTGTATCATGTAGTGACCAGATCTTCTAAAAAGCTTCCTCCACCCAGAGTACCACCCAACATGTGATGTGAACTCATTATGCCTCTCAGTACCCAAAACTACCTGAAGGATTCTACCATTCACCCTGGAATTGGAGGACAAAGAACAGGCACCCACATTCACATCTAAACACTTATTTTATTTTATTCCTGATGTGATGTTCCATGTAGTTAGAAAAGAGAAATAAACAGGTACTAAAAAGGAATATGCACAATTATCAATATTTATTTTAACTTTCACTGTGTATCTCCAACACTCAAGATATTTAACAGAAAATCCTGCTTAGAAACCATAAGACAATTTAATAATGTGGATTGTTGCAAAATTGTTATACAATCAATAACTTTTCTATATACAAAAAATTATCTGTCAAAAATACAATGTTCCTTTCAAAAATGTAAAGTACCTAAGAAATAATAGAATTCAACAAAGAAATTTTGAATAAATGGAGATATTCTTCATATCTTGTTAGACAACTGTAGAAATGGTCAACTTTCTTTAATAAATCTATAATTTCATGCAATTCCAGTATATACTATATTGCAAAGTAATTTCTTAGCAATTTTTATTAGAATTTAACAAAATGAACCAAAAGCATCTCTGAAAGAAAAAAGATTATTAGGAAAGTTTTGAAAGAAAGTATTGAGGAGGGGTTGCCATACCAATATTAGAAATGTGTGGCTATAAAGGTATGTTTTATATAGAACTAGTACAAAATAGAATGAATTTAAATAACAGAATCCAGAAATAAACTCAAGTGTATAGGACCACTTAGTACATTCTAAGGGTAGTATATATATTTTTTAAATTTATTTTTATTTATTTATTTTTTTAGTATTGGGGATTGAACTTGAGTCCTTGCTCCTGTGAGGCAGGCAGTGAAACCACTGAACTAAATCCCTGGCCCTAAGGGTAGTATTTTTAAATAAGTGAGTACTGGAACAGCTGCTTTGCTGGGGAAAGTGAGAAGAGAAAGAGGCTGTTGATAAACCAAATTCAAGTGGATCCAAGATAGAGATGTAGAAACTAAAACTGTATATATAATAGAGAAAAATGGGACAATATAATTATGGACTGAAAAGCATGTCTAAAGAAAAATTACATCAGAAAATGTAAACCAATTCCTTTGTGTACCTCAAAATTTAAAATCTTTAGAGAAGGAAAAAGATACCATTGCAAAAGTCAGATCATGAATAACAAACTGAGGGAAATGTCATCTCTAAAATACATGAAGTAACAGTATCCATAATAAGAAAAACTGAATCAAGACAGAATAACACACAAAGAAAAAGTGGTTAATAAATATAAAGTGATGGTTGTCACTGATACATATAGAAACTTAAAAATAGTAAAATCTCATATTTTAGATATGAGGATGATAAATATTTTGAAAGCAAAATATCCAGTGTTTGAGACAATAAAGGAGAAACCAGAGCATAAAATAGTTCTTGCGGATCTGGTTTAATGGGAAAACCAAGGAGGAGGAACTCTGAGATGACAGTTTGGTTTCCTCTTTCCATGTTGCTTTTTAAGCAAAATGTCCAGTGTTTGAGACAATAAAGGAGAAACCAGTCTTACTTTCAGAAGGAGTTTACAGAAGAAGAACTTCTTTGCAGGCAATTTGACAATTTTTCTTCAATTTTAAAATTTTCATATCCTTTTATTGAATACTCTCATCTTGAGAATGAGTACCCATTCCAAACTATACAATTTTAATTTAAAAAGCAGGACAAGTCCACAAAAATATATGGACCAATATATAAAACTGAGGCATTCTTCAAAATAATAAAAAATTGAAAATAACTCAAACTTCCATCAAGAGCAAATTATTTAAGTGAATTATAGTAAGTGCATCAATTCAACAATACTCTATTTAGCCTCTACAAGTGTTATATGGCCTTATATTAATTGGTGAATTCACAGTACATTTTAAGTGAAAACAATGAGACGAGAGCATAAATAAGCTCTATTAATTATGATTTATATATTAATCTGTGTATGGGAAGTATCTGAGATATTTCCCAACTTTTAACTGCCTTAATGGTGGAAGGAGTCAAAAAATATGTTGGGTTCTCATATTCTGCTTTATTTCCTTTGTGTTTGGATATTTTCAAGTGAGTACTACTCTAGTAGTTGATAAAAAAATTTGAAATGAAAATAAAGTCAACATTGGCATTACTAGGAAGGTTTCTTTTAAAAAGTGGAACTTTTAAAGGCATAAACTTATTTCAGTAAACTTGAAAATACATTCAAATAAAATAAATAAATATTTATTATATACCTGGATTAAATATACAAAGCACTGAAGTAGGCATAATAGAGATTAAAGAATACCTGTCTTCAAGATACTTATAGTATACTTGGTAATAAAATAAACAAAGAAAACATCAAATGATTTCAGCATAATATTCCTGGGGTGGGAGGAATGCTTACCTAAGAATTGCAATTAGATTCTAGTCTTTCTGTCACTACTTAAATTACCTTCGACTATACTCTGGGTTACCATTTCATTGCCCGTAGACTAAACAATGTATAACAGAACTCTGCAGTACATTCTAGATTATACAATTTTAATTTAAAAGCGAAATTCACCTGCAAAGTATAAATATTGTCAAAAGAAGTAGTTCATCATTAACTGATGAAAGATAGGTTCAGTTAATTCAAAAAGAAACACAAATTTAGAATGTGATCATCAAATAGGTGAACAATCAACACATGAAAAGAAAATTAAGAACTGAAGAGATTGGCAAGAGGGGAAATAATCCTAGGGAGTAACAAATTACAAAAGCATGTACATAGTAAATTGGAAGATGGTCCTCATTGATTGGATATGTTTGCCAGAAGCAAAGTATTGAGATGGTTGAGGAATTTGGATTTGTTTCTTAGGGAATTAGAAACTACTACATATTCTTTGAGTACTATAAATACTGATATCAGAGTGGTATTTATTCAAGCTTCAATAATAATTAAGAATACATGATATATCAAGCCTTGGATTCCATCATACCTGAATTTGAGTAGCAAATTCAGCAGCCACAATGAACTTTTTCCTAGAAAAACTTGAGAAAACTCCCCTGGAAGTGCTATGATAACTATACTAGTGGTACTGCACTTGAGTGCTACTTCGCTATTCAGAATACTACTGATTTTTAATGTTATGCCTACTGTTAGAAACACTTTTATCTTTAAAGTCATTGTCCCAAAGAACAGTGAACTGTTCATTTTGAAAAGATCCTTCCCATAGCTCCCTTTACGTCCTGATTCCTCAAGCTGTAAATAAAGGGGTTCAGCATAGGCGTCACCACCATGTACATCACAGCCATGACAGTATCCTTCACAGTAGAATTGTTAGTTGAAGGACACAAGTAGAGGCCAATGATTGTCCCATAGAAGAGTGACACCACGGAGAGGTGGGACCCACAGGTGGAGAAGGCCTTGTGGATGCCTCTGCCAGAAGAGCCCTTGAGAATGACAGATACAATTCGTGCATAGGATGAAAAGATCAACAGGAATGGAACAATAATGACAAGTCCTCCCAAGATAAATATCACCATTTCATTTATCTGAATGTCATAGCAGGCCAACTTTAGCAAAGCGGATATGTCACAGAAAAAGTGGGGTATCACATTATCAGCACAGAAAGACAGTCGAGCCATAAGCAGTGTGTGCAACGAAGAGATGACTGTGGTCAGAACCCAGGACAGACCCATTAGGAAGAAACAGAGCTTGGGGCTCATGATGCTCCTGTAGTGCAGGGGAAAGCAGATGGCCACATAGCGGTCATAGGCCATGACCACAAGCAGAAAGCTCTCTAGATCAGCAAACAGCAGGAAGAAGTACATTTGAGTCAGGCAGCCTGCATAGGGGATAGATGGGACTTGGCTCTGCATGTTCTGTAACAATTTAGGAATGGTCACAGAGGAAAAGCAGAGATCAGAGAAAGACAAATTGCTGAGAAATAAATACATAGGAGTGTGAAGGTGGGAATCCAGGCCAATGAGGATGATTATAAAGAGGTTTCCCAGGACAGTGATAAGATACATGGTCAGGAAAAGAGCATAAAGTAGTTCTTGCTGATCTGGTTCAATGGGAAAACCAAGGAGGAGGAACTCTGAGATGACAGTTTGGTTTCCTCTTTCCATGTTGCTTTTTAAAAACCTTTTTAAAAATTAAGAATAATTTATATTAATGTATGAATATATATGCACACATATACACATAACAGAGCTCTTGGAAATATATTTTAAATTAAATTCAAAACTCATTAGTCGTAAGTGTTCACTTCAGTACTTTGTCTTTTCTCAAATATATATTTACATATAGAAAAAGCATAGGGAGTTATGGATCAAATTCAATGATGTTTCAGAATTCTATAAGAATGTTCCATAATAATATCATGAAAGGGATCAGATAAGCATGGTCTGAAAGTAGGTAGAAAGTAGTCTAAGAAAACACTTTTTTATGTCTCTAGCTTAGGGATGCAAATGTATACCAACCAAAAAAAAAAAAACCAGTCACCATTCTTATTACTCAGTAATAATGAGATAGTTGTTGTGATACTGGTGGTGATAATGATAATCATGACATTTGTAAGTGCATACTCTTGCCATTGTCCAAATAATTGGGTAAGAGTTTAACATGCATAAACTGATTTATTTTTCTTAACAGACTTAAGGAATAGATATTAATTTATTTTTAGATAAAGAATTTGGTATTTATTCTAATTAAATAACTTCCCCAAGATCTCACATCTATTAAACAACACACCTGGGACTTAAAGATATACAGTACAACTTCAGACCTTTGTTTTTAGCAGAGAGAACTTCTGGTTCTGGTTACACTCCACTGCATGTGACTGTGAATGCACAGAGGATGAAAAGATTACTAGGAGATGAGACTTCGTCCAAACACCAAGAGACCCAGAGGGACTGTCTCAATGAGAATATCCCACATGAAGAAGTCTCAAGGAAGCAGCTGTGAACCAAGAACTCTCTGGCTCAGTGTAAGAGAAAAAACAGCTTTGGAAAGAAACTGTATCAAAGCTAAGCATTTTATCAGGGAAAAGGGAAGGACAATGGCCAGACACAGCATGCTTCACTAATCTAAACCTCTTGTCTTCCAACTGTGCTATGCTCAGCACATTATGTCAGACCTATGTACTTCTGCTTCATCGATCTTTTCTTAAGCTTTAACAATCACTGCAGAGCTTGTGTGCTTTTGCCCTGCAGGTCCTTTCACAGTTTAACCATTCACTCCTCAGCCAGGTCCTCCACAGTTAGATATGGTAGGTTGGTGTATATTATCTAGATAAAATCTTGCCGTTGGAGGCAGAGAAAAATGAGCTCTGAAAGTAAACAGTGCTAGAGGAGGAAATTTTTGTTTACCTATATACCTGACAATTAAGAAAAGATACTTACAGAAGGTCCAGCAATACAAGTTCTTCTTGATCCAAGAACACAGTTGGGGGGAACGTTTTAGTGGAGGAGTACAAAAACATTGGAAACCATGAAATTCATGGTACAAATCAACTAATTCAAGGATTAAGGAATTAAACATGGCCCTTGAACTGTCTCAACTTGTGAATATCTCAAAAATTATGAGTAGAATCATCTTTGAGGCATTAATCTTTCAAGATTTTGTTTCTGCACTTTCTCCCTTCACTTCCTCACATTCAGGTCAGTAGTCAGCTCATGGCAGGAAAGCAAAACTAGTCCAGAAATTTTCCTGGTTTTTATTTCCAAAGGCCTGAGCCCCAGAATAAGGACAGAATTTGCTAGGATAAAAAAGTCTCTTCACAAAGTTAGAAAAAAAAGTGAATTTTCTTCCCAGCAAACCAGATTTTCCTTCAACTTGGGGGCCAGAGTGAGGATGGAACAATGATCAGTGAGTCCCAAGAATGGGGAGAACTTGGCATTGCCACTGGAAGTCATGAAGATATGATACGAGCATTGATTCAGAAGAGAGAAAGACTTTTAAAAATATCAATGTAGCTTCCCAGTTAAGTTTGATAATTTTAATGAAATGATTGATTTTTAGAGAAAAAGTAAATTACTTATATTTCCTCAAGAAACCAGAAAGGTAATCAGTGTTGGGTTCTCCCACTGAGTCTCTGGATTTCTGGGAGCCAATAAACTGTCATTCGTTTTTCCCTAGCCAGTTAATCAGAACTCTAATGCAAATAAGGAGTCATGAGCTGAGATCCCAGCAGGGCTGCTTTCCATAGTATGGCCTCTGGAGAAGACCATCCAGGAGGCTAGGAACCACATTTGTCTTGTTCACATGGGAGTCAAGTTGACTACTTGTATAACTGATCTCTAGTTAATGACATCATCACCTTTCTCTATTCTACATACCCTAGGATGGATAATAAACTTCTTACAAAGAACTTACACTGCAAAACTAAAGGTTTTTGAAGACCACATTATCTCAACATAATACAGTAAAATTAAAAATTAATGACACAATGTTATTCTTGAATATTAAGGTTCTCCAAATATCTTTTATGTTGAAGAAACTGATAAAACAACAATACTCTATACAGAAATAAATTGAAAACTCAACATATACTGCTCAACAAAGAAGAAAAATAGATGTGTGGTTTTTATCAATAAAAGTGAAAATGAAAATAAAAGGATAGAAAAAGTAGTAAGAGTCAAATACATATAATTAAATGATTAAAAAAGCTAAAAGTATATAAATAGGTATGAAATGAAACTAATAAAAATAATATGAGGGTCTTTTTTCAGAAGATCAATTAAACAGACAAAACTGGTGAATCTAATTTTTTATATAAAAATCCAACTTTATTGAACTTAGGAGTAAATAGGTTTTCAAATTAATTATTTTTGCTTTATGGTTATTAGCACCTGATCTAAGGTAGAACTTACTAACTGCTACTATATGAAGATGCCTGTAAGCTTCCGGGTAGGTGTGCCATGGCTCTGAACCCAGAGGAGACCTCCAGACCAGCGCACCATGGCTCGCAGGCAGCAGGAGGCTTCTGGGTAGGTGTGCTGTGGCTCCCAGCATAGAGGAAGCTTCTGGGTAGGCGTGTCACGGCTCTGAGCCCAGAGGAGGTGAGCTGCGGGGGCGGCAGGAACACAGACCCACCCTACATCCCCCCCACACACACACACACCAGCCCCACGCATGAAAATGAGAAGACAGGTAAAAAAGCCACAGAACCAGACTTCCAGATCACCTACAGCAACCCCAAAGGGAAACAAGATGGAATACTCTGATACTCAACCACCTGAACTCCCTGAACTAGCAACGAAAGAGGATCTGGAAAAAATGAAATCAGAAATAATTTCTCACATAACAGCAAAGATCATGCCCATCGTGCAAGACATGATTAATAAGTCTAGACAGGATACATATTAAATAATAGAGGAGTTGAGGAACATGATGGAATCCCAACATAGGAAACAAATGGAATCCATAAAACAGATGCAAACAGATTTCTAGGAGATTAAAAACTCCACTGAAAGTGTATGCAGCAGAATGAGCCAATGTGAAGACAGAATTTCAGATATAGAAGATAAGATTGCAATTAGTGACCAGGAAAATAAAAAATTCTTTAAAACTGTAAGGGACCATGAGAAATCAATCCAGCAGCTGCTAGATGATGCAAAGAAAAATAACATAAGACTGATTGGAGTCAATGAAGAAAGAGGAGAGAGTGCAGATGACATAAAAAAAACTGTTTATAGACGTGATGGCAGAAAACTTCCCAAGGAGGGGAAAAGAACTTGACATACAGATAAGTGAGGCATATAGGACTCCAACAAGCCTTGATCAAAAAAAGTCTACACATAGGCATATAATTGTTAAGATTCCAGAAACACAACAGAAGAACAAAATTCTACAGGTAGTTAGAGAAAAGAAACAAGTCACATACAAAGAAAAGCCCATCAGAATCACAACAGACTTCTCAGTGCAAACCCTCAAGGCAAGAAGAGCTTGGAGTGATGTTTCAAGCCCTAAGGAAAAACAACCTCCAACCCAGATTGATGTACCCTGCAAAACTATTTTTCAAAATTGATGGTGAAATAAAATACTTTCATGACAAAGAGCACCTTAGGAACTTCATGAATACCAAACAAGCACTCAAACAAATTTTAGAGAAAATCCTAGGAAAAAACAACGAGGATCACAACCCCAGGAAGCCCAGCAGAATGAATCCACTGGGCACAACAAGAAATTAAAAGCAAAGGGGGAGGATCCAACAAAAA